TTCTGGAGTGGGCAAGTACCAACGCAGTCTCCTTCGATACCAATAAGTCGGAGGTAGTCCAGTTTCCCGGACGGAAACGCGAGGAGCCAGTGGGCATTCGTGTGAACGGCGTGGTTATCGAGCCAGCAGACCAAATACGCTGGCTTGGAGTATACCTAGACCCGCAGCTGGACTTCAAACATCACGTCACGACGTGGTGTGGCAAAGCTCTGAAGGTGGCCCAGCAATTGCGCCGCTTCAACTCTGCGTATCGAGGAGCTGCCCCTGCAGCACTGGTTCGAGCAGTGGACACGTGCATTGTCCCCATAGCAACCTTCGGAGCAGATGTTTGGTGGCCCGGCCTCAAACGTCCGATCAAAAGGGGGATCATCACACCTCGAACCAGCATTTTCTGCGAGATGATTGACAAGGCAATCTTGACGGGACTGCGCGCTGCCCTCCCGGTAATGAGAACTACACCGAATCTTGTTCTCCACCGAGAAGGAGGTATCCCAACAGGGAAGATCATTCTGGAAGGGAACCGACTACGGCTTTCGGCTCGGCTCCACTCACTGGACAACCGCCACCCGCTCCGGACTCGTGCCGCCGTGTGTCCAAACAATGGAACAAGGAAGTACAAGAAAAATGCTCGGGCACCCAAGAATCCGGAGATCCAGATGTCAAGAGTGCAGCGGGCCTTCCGACAACTCCCGGACGCGGAAGACGCTAAGCCTCTGCCGCCGCCATGCTATCTGTCGAACTTCGGCCCAAGGACAGAAGAGGAGGACAAGTTAACTCGGTTCCTTAGAGGTGTATTGCCATCGGATATCTGTGCCTACCCGGATGGATCGTCAGAGGGGCATGGTCGCTCAGCATGGGGGTTCGTCTTGAAGAGGGATGGAAAGACTCTGTTGAAGGGATGTGGTATCAAGCATGGTGGTGAAGTGCTCGATGCGGAAATACTAGGGGCGAGGAAGGCCCTGGAAGCTGCGCTAGGATTGTTGGAGAGAGAGAACGGGAGAAGTAACGGCAGGCAGTGGATCAACGTGTTGACGGATAGTCAGTCTGCAGTGAAGGCACTGCTGACAGGAACCGCCACAACAAGTCTCGACGATGTACGCCAATTTAGGGCGCTATCAGAAAAGGCTCGAGTCTCGGTTCAGTGGATACCAGCCCACTCCGGGATACAGGGAAACGAAGAGGCTGATAGAGTTGCACGCTCCGGCCTCCAACAACTTCCAAGTAAAGAGAGCCAGCCTGGCTCCGTCACTTTGGCGTACGTTCGTCGTCTGATGAACCAGAAACGTCAAGCTCTTCTCGAGGAATGGTGGGAGGAAGCATGTCCACCTAGGTATCGAAATCTGGGTCTACTCATGCGACGACGCAAGCCACAGGAGCAGGCACTTTCTCGGCGGTTACTACGTGAACTGATCTCAGCTCGAACGGGACACGGAAACTTCGCTGCATGTCACCGTCGTTTCAACAACTTCACCGCTTCTATGGAGTGTGCGTGTGGAGAGGAAACATCACCTCTCCACTTCATTCACTGTCGACTGCACGAACGTCAGACGCGTCGACTCCGAGGGACAATGTCACATCACGACTTTGTCCAAAAGCTTCTCGGGCCTAAGTGCCTTGAGGATTTTACAAAATTTGCGCAGGAAACTGGCTGCTTCGGCAACTCACCTGCAAGTCCGTCACCAGCTCTCAGCGGAGACAACATTAACTAGGTCATAGCACGAAGCATGACAGGAAGGAAAACGAGACGAGGAGTGTCGCTTTCCCACCTCAAATTGGAGTATTGGATTTGGAATTTTGGTTATGGGAGTCTGTGGGAGCATTTAAATTCTTTCTTATAACTAGCTACTGGTTGTGTAGTGGGTCACGCAGTGAGACCGAGTCGGGCATGTGGGAAGCATGATCTTGGCCGTGTACACCGGTCCTTGACTCCTAGGAGATATAGAGCATAGCTTAGGACCTAAAATTTATTAAAAAAAAAAAAAAAAAAAAAAAACATACATCGTGCTCAAGCCCCTACAGAGGTGCAAAAAGTGCCAATTGCCTGGCACGTTGATAAACAAATCGAAGCAAACCATAGTACGACAACTGAATGGCTGGTAATTGTTGATCGCTGGGAGCAAGGAACCATTAAAGCCTTGGACGTTTGTATTGATACATATACTTATTTGCTAAAGTTGAGCTTCATAGAACATCGTATGTTACCAACTCACTATGAGGAAAAATAATCGATACCCATCCAACTACCGACAACCGAGGTATCTACAAGTTTGTAGCAGCCAGCTGGCCGCCTTCTTCGGACGCTTCAGAAGGGTCACTATTTCTTCGGATTTATTTCTAATTACGGTACTAGAAGAGTCCCGCACCCAGTGGTTTTTGCGATTTTTTCTGGCTGCAATACACCCGCAAATGGCCATCGTTTCGTTGTCAGGGTAAAGGTCATTGGAGAGATTGACGAGGTCTAATCTGATGATTGAGATTGTCTACAAAATAGAAAAGTGACTCCTGTAGAGTCTTATAAATATATATATATATATATATACATCGTGAATCACGCATCAGAAGCGTGATAGCATGTGACCATACGATACTGCAATCCACTCCATCCCTTGACATTCGTTGGCTGGAGAGGGGTGGTAATGAAGGGCAAAGGGCCCCTCTAGGTGTATGATCGAATGAGGACTTGTGAGGGGTGGTACTGTTTAAGGGGAGCTGTATAGGAGGCATAGGAGGGGATATACTACTGGTATAGCCGGCAAAGACGAATTCTTCACCTTCCAGTGGTGCCGGTGTCATTGCTCAGTATGCCATGCATATCTGGGATAGCCAAGAAGAATCGCAACCGAATCGAAGTCGAAAGCAAACACATGCATATCTCCATTTGACGACTTCTCAATCATGCAGCTCTCGCCATAATCTTCTGAGTCCTCAACCTCTTTCTAATCACACATCATCTCGACTCGACGACCGATAAAGGCGTCATCCCAATTGCAAACAGGAGCTTGCTTCATCCATCACCGGCCATCACTCACTACAAATTTACGACGCTACGTATACCCGCAAGGAGGAAATTAAGTCATAATATACAAAGTTGGGGTCTTGGCTTCTGGGGGACTGATGCTTTGATGGGGTTGTACATCTTGAGGAAGGACAGGCGGCTGAGATGTGGAACGGGAGAGGGGTCACGTCTTCGAAAAGACCATGCTGGGACTGACATTTTCGAGGGGTTTTCAACTTTGGATTTTTTGTGGACGCCAAGACTAAGATTTCGGCTAATTAGCCAAGAGGGCTTCTTTTGTCGATGAGTCAACGGCACTCCCCAGCGCCCTGGACGACACAAAAGAAGCTAGGCTAAGCTACTATACAGCAATCACACTCTGTCAAGACTTTTCTGACATTTCAGCACGACCTTCGGGTAGCAGGCTAGAAAGGCAGAGTGTGAATTCTCCGAGGTGCCCGCAAGTCTGCAGCGCCCAGCTGGCCAGCCTCTTTGAACGCTTCGGAAGGATCACCATCTCTTCGGATTCAGTCTTTATGTCGGTGTTAGGAGGGCTCCGCACCCAGTGGTCTTTTGCAATTTTTCCCGGCTGCCATACACCCGCAAATGTCCATCGTTTCGTTGGCTAGAGAGGAGAGATAATGAAGGGCAAATGGCTCCTGTTAGTGTATGATCGAATGAGGACTTATGAGGGGTGATGCTGTTTGAGGGAAGTTGTATGGGAGGCATAGGAAGGGATATACTACTGGTATAGGTATCCTTGGCCTGTAGGCAGAGAGGACCTGCATGTCCTACATAGTCATAGACTCAGATAGGACAATAAAATGAAATAATAATAATGGACTATCGACAATAATCCTGACCGATATTTTACTCTTGCTCTTCTAGATAATTCTTTCTACAAACTTTCCTCATGATTTCCTGATAGAGACTGCAACACTAGAATTCTATTCCTCTCAAGCAAGGAAAAAATTTATAGAAAGCTTAATCATTAGATACATTTAAGTGAAATAGAGATTCTGAAATAAGAACAGAATGAGAGAACATATACTCATCTTCTACTCCCATCAAAGTTCTTCAATTTAATCACTGTAATCCACCTATTCACATGTTCCTGCATTGGTCTCTACTCATGATCAAAAAACTTGATACTGTATCAATAACTATTAAGGGAATAATGAGCCCTCAGTCACTGAGGCTGTAGAGTTCATTGAGTCTCGTTACTACCGAAGTTAAACTGAGTACGAAATTTGTAGTCACGTGTATACCAACAACGTGGCCTTCTTGATAGCCCCAAATATTCGAAATTCTAACAACAATTACAAAAAATGTTTGGTAGTATTTCCATTTTCTAAGCTGCAAGTGTGGTGGATCTCTTCGAGGATGAGCCATTCATCCGATGACTCGGCCATTACTACCACCTCCACGTACGTAATGTTTATAGGTAGAGGATAGACACAATGTACACTTCACTTTTGAACATATGGTTCTGCATTAAATCAACCGTAAGTGCACATAAATTAAGGCTTATCGATAAAAAACTAATTTCAGCTTATTAGCAACCATGATCATTAAACCTAAGCATTCTTGAAAAAGATTTTGAGTCAAAGACCAGGATTGATAGGCTGTAAAATTTTAGAAAAAAAAAAAGTTGGCTTGTCATCAGAACCTAGTAAATATATTTGATATATTAAGTTTTATTACTTAAATCAGCCCAAAATCTTGTTTCAAATTATAGCTCCTCAATTTAGTCTGGTGTAACTCTAGTAAAATACAAGATAGTATACATGATAGCCTCGGATTATAAATTTACCTAGATATGTCATCGGCCAGTATTTAAAGCTATATTCGGTACCTGAATACTTGGATTTTGGACTGTCAACTTGTTTCTCCTCCCATACCATAAAACCCGATGTCATTTAAATAAGTTTCTCCAGCAGAGTTTAAGATAGTATTATTTCCAGTCTCAAAATTCGAGTAATATATGAAAAATTTGGTCTCAATATCACTCAGAGAGCACACTACGCAACCTTGCCAGAAATTGTTCTTTAATCTTGCATACCTCGACTACTTCAGGCTTTACTGGTTCTCCTGCTGATCTCCTTAAATTGCTTTGCTTACTGGCCCTACGTTGTCTCTCAGCAACGAGTGGACTTATGTTATCTTGCTCTTCGTTGTAACTACTCATTTCTCCTTCATCATAAGTCATTTCTTCTAAATCCATCGCGTCCAAGCCAAAATCAGAGCTCCTGAACGTAGCGCTACCCGGAAGCGTTGACAAGACACTGCTGTTATCATCAGCACCCATCTTCTGTCGTGTCTTGTTGTGATGCCATCTCTTGCGCGCCTCTTGCCATGATACTAAGTTATCAATCTCCAGGATAGCCTTTTCTTTATCGATTAACCCAGAGCTTATAGCTTCCGAAAATAGTGCATTAATATCTAATTTCCCCGATTTTGGACCATGCCGTAAGAATTCGAGAATATCTTCAATCCAATTCATCCAGTTAGTAAATAGCCCATTGTCATGTGAGTGAACATCATGTACAAATCCATAAAGGTTATGCTCGTGTCGCGCACAAAGATCAATAAAAGCTTGGACTGTCTGATTTGGGTCGGCAGAAAAGTCCTGTTGGCGACATCGGTCGACGACAATAATTAAATCATCGACAAAGTTAGCAAAATCCGTTACTCTATGGTGGATATTGGCAGTTTTATATACGCGCACGAGTGGCTCGTAAAAGATGGTAAAGAGATCTCGGAGAAGTAGAAGAGTGACCGGCTCATCAATCATGCTAAGCATCATAGCTTTGTCACGCTGTCTAGTGTAAAGCTTTAAGAGCTGTTTAAGGTGTGAGAATGTCAATGCGCCAGCCTTTATCTCATCGTCTAGATTAGTTATTGCATTATTCCATGCCATATATGCGTTGAAGATTTTAGTGATTTGTTGAGGTTTTAGAGGGGGATCAATCATCTCAGAGCGCAATATGGAAATGATTATATCGACACCATTCTCTTCAGCATCTGATCGAATACTGTCCTTAGTAGGTTCTTCTGCATCAACAAATTTCTTAATCTTGTTGTAAAATACAGGCTCATCAATTTGAGCTAATACTACATCGATAGTTTTCTGGAGGGCCTGAACCCCATCATTGAGGGCAAGACCAAAAATCCTTTGTAACAGTGACCTAGCGCCAAATGGTTTGGCTATGAAGATGTCCAAGACTTTTGCTATAACTGCAGCAGGATTTGCAATTTTAATGGCATTCTTGACGATGGTGTATGGAACCATCGAGTGTATTCTTTTCGCTTGAGCGTACAGTTCTGGGGAATTATCTTCTGCTAAGAAAAGATGATAGACAGTTGCTGCCACTTCAATACGGAGCCATTCAGCAAATTTGCGATACTGTATACTCATATCCTGGATGGTGGGTTTTTCTTTGACTTCCTGGAGTAGCTTAGTGAGACCATCGCTCTCTATGATTTCGCGACGGAATCTTTAAAACATTAGGATAGCAAAACCTTACTAGCAGGAAACTTACTGTTCCATATACACGTCTAGTTCGGCGGCTCTTTTACGGGCAATCTCGTAAAACTGCTTCTGTTCCTCAATTCTCTTCGCATCTAGTGACTCGCGATTGGAAATATCCAATTTATCTGATTCTGAAAGTATAATTGGATTTTGCGTAAGGAAAATTTCCATGGCTTTGGTCTGCACCATCTGAGGATTGGAAATAAGAGTTCGCAAAAAAGCTCTCAATGAGACCCGCTCAGCTTCTCGCCAGAATGAAGTTGTCTCTGTAGGTGTCGCTTGAACATGCGAGCTACCTCCTTCCTTGCTTGTCTCAATACCGATCAAGCTACTTTGTTTTCTTCCGTCTACTGAAGTCCTTGCAGATGATAATTTCCTCGAGCTCGATGAAGGATTTCGGCGATGACCTAGAATTATTAGCTAGTTTCATCAGCAAAGTGTTTCGATGAATACCCTTCAATGAATGGATGCTGAATCTAGAAGTGATGTTTGTTGAGGCAACGCTTGATATTGAGCCTGATTCATCAGAGGCACCTTCGACCTCGTTCTTCTCTGCAGTACTCTGAAAAGTAGTATCGACTGTTGCATTTGATTTAAAGTCATCCTTAATCTTTTTCGGTAAGACTGGCACTACCCTTCCTGGAAGTTGTATCGTAATGTTTTTTTGAAGCTGCTCAAAATCGCTGTAGCGTCTACTAACAAAAATTTCTGGCTGACCCATACGTTTAACGCGAATCAAATATTCAGCTTCCTTGTGATTTCGAAAGTTTTTCTTCACTTTAACGGCTCGTACACCAGAAATATTTATATCCCATCCATTTATGGCATTTCCTTTCTTGAGACCATTAATGGTACCAGGATCAATAGCACCCGCTTCGACGATTTCCATTTCACTAAAACGGATACGCTCTTCGTACCCGCTTGCCGTTGGTATACCAGAAACCATCATCAGCTCGACGATTTTCTGGCTTTTAGTGGATAGTTTTTTGCGCTTTGTTTCCTCTAGTCGATCTTCTGATGATGAGATGCGTTTGTTGGCGAATAACTGAAGGAAAATTTGTATCTTATCTTGCCAGAATTCTTTTTCGTTTGCGCGGTCAAGAAAAGGGAACTCTCGCACAAAATGTACAAAAAGATATCGCAAAATAGGTAGTTCACTGTTAAGAGGAGAGACCTCGCCATAGTCTGACTTGAATGGCGCGCCAAATCTTTGCAGAGCAGTCGGAGAATTCAGCTCAAGTATTTCGAACTTTACCTGTTGAGATATGAGTTCTCTCTTTAGATCTAGCCAGTTTATGGTCAGTAAGTAGCCCCACTTGGCATTTTTTAGACATACAATGCTCTTGCTTTCCCGTTAGGACCTGAGCCGCAGAAGTTTCATCAGTATCTTGCTCCATGTTGTTGAGATTTCTGATGTCACCAAATTGTGACTAGACTTTTTATATTTTCTTTAATAGAGTGCTTCTCTAGCCTCGACTTAAACTGTACCAAGTCAATGACCTCAATAACCACTTAAATTCATAAAAATAGGCTTTGAAATTAGAAATTAGGTTTGTAAGAAGCCTAGTGGTCCAAATAATCAGTAGTCTTCGTAATGGTTTTTAATCAGATTTGTGGAAGGAAGAGGGGCTATATGTAAACTCTCTTATTACCCCGCCCATGGTTCGCCTAGCAGGAGTGTGGTTTTCTGACATGTGGAAATGAAACCGATTCTCAGACATCAATTATTAAAGCGATGAGTTCAGGCCGATATGGTGTCCTGATAATGCTTGGATGGAATGATTATCTTGTATCAGAATGTGGGCTGTCTCACGATCAAAGAAGTCCAAGCTGATCTTGTCGAGAAATGTTAGTTTTGGTTTGATGTACGACTTTATCGCCGGCCCTACTACGTCATGACAATATTAGAGTTCCGATTGTTTGCAGCGAACCAATTTAACTGTTTTGAATGGGGGGCGAAGGATAACACATGTCTGGGTGTTTTCTGAGGACATGTGGACGGTAGATTTCTTCAAAGCCTAAATTCAATCATGGAACATGGGAGAGTTTAAAGCATCCGATTAGATGATGGTCAGGAGAAGTGTTATTCGAAAGCTTTTGAGCGAAAACCGTGCACTAGGAGATACCACCGCTGCACAACTCAAAGAAATCAATAATTTACACTCTGAGTACGAACCGCAGGTAGATCTGATCGTATCTAATATTCTAGTTAGAACTTACAGTCTTCACTCTCTCGATTTTTCCTGAAATCTTCAAACATTAATTCATCTCATAGACCTCTTTAAACCCATATTATCACCTACCTAATCATTCTAACATATAGAATTCAAAATCAAATTCTTTGATATAGTAAGACATGATATTTTCGTAACAACTACATGCTATGAAGCTATGTTCGGAGAACCGGCCTTAAATACAGCTACACCTCCGCCAAGGGAACCAACAACTTGACCTACGACACAATTGTGACATTTCACTGGTATGTAACCGAGAGTATTAGACGTAAGCCGATGTATCAGAGCTTAGTTCTCAACCGAATATTCGTATACTAACCTCCGTGGTATGAGTTACGATAGAAATAGCGCAAGGCCGGAGGCATGGATAATCTACAAAATGCTTGGGATGGTGATATTGACCGAAAAATCAAGGAAAGCTACAATGGAGTAACAAGGGAAATTTGGAGGAGGTCTCGGTGGGTGGACTGGTTGTGGTCTTCAATGAGGAAAATGATCTCTTGATGAGATGGGCAAATGCTGGGATGAGGCATGACTGGGACTGAACTTTAAAAAAGTTTTAGAGAGTGGGAAGCTGTCCAGGGCTTGGGCGCGTGGTGGCCGAAGCTGAGGAGTAAATTGCGTTACGGCCTATCAGAGTCGGGTTCTCGGGACGGTTGGACTTGACATGTTCAACACATGGACGGAGACTATGGTGGTCCTATCATTTAGGTTGAACGTTGTCTATGTGCTCAGTTTAAGTTATCCTGATCCAGCCCGGCCACACTCATGCTCAAACTCCCATAGGAATGTGTATGGCGCCACTTACCTAGCAGATCAATGTATAAATCAATATACTCTATTTTTTTATCATTTAATGTGTATTCAGCTGTCTAGCTATGACAAATGACCGGTACTAAGTATACATGTTTGATAACTCTTTTGACGTTAGAGACACTCATACTCTGGATTTCATTCGCAAATACCACTATGAGGTATGTTCGCTTACACAAACAGTCGATCCTCCTCCGTAAGTACCTACCAAAAGGACGTTTTGAAACCTTGGCACACACAAAGCTCAATTTGTAAAAACTTCTTGCCAAAATTCGAAATTCCACGCCCGTCGAGAATGTATCCATCCTTCGCATCATCTTGTTGACTTGTCCTGAATCCTCTCACGCCAATCCGAAAGAACAGTCTCCCAGATTTGTGCGCCACGCTTTCCTTCCTCCGTCGGGTATAAATATCGGCGTGGGCGTGTATTTGGTGGCCAGCTTAGGCCAGAGAAAGCCGACGAGAGGTGTGGTCATTGGGATGAGGATGTACTTGGTCGTACTTGTAGACTTGATGAGACTTAGTTGGGAGTGAAAAAACGACGTGGTGGAGTAATTTGAATCATTGCCTCGTGGGCCAACTTCTTTGATATTGCGAAATTTGACTGAACTTGGCTCTGGAAGAATATTTCACTCCCAGGTTCGTAGATGACACCGCGTACAGGTGTTCAGTCTTGCCCTCCATCAATATACTTGTGGATCCAAGATTGACAGACCTTTATATTAGTACGAGGCTCTCACAAATTGTAATGCTTATGTAATGTTGTTCACGTTGGAGTCCGGGCGCAAGATAAGGAATACTGTACTTATATAGACGATACCCTGTATTAATAGAAAACCAAGTTACATCTCGTCTTAAGCTCTATTATACATATTAGTAGTTTGGAGCCACGAGACACTCGTAACCTACGCCATCTTAAAGCTAGGCTTATCTCACTTTTCATACATACTAATCCATCAGGAACCTCATACTCACCAGGGGCGAAATATCCATGCCGAAAATCGAAGCCTAGTAGTTGCCGATTGTACCAGAGTTGGCTGCAACGAAAGGGTGAAGATTAAACATTAATTAGCCGTTAATATCACAGCTTTTCAGGGTTGGGAAAGCTCATGGTTATGTCAAATGAAAGAGCTGCTGCCCGGCCATCGGGCGTCGGCAGACCCAGAATATTGGAAAGTAGTAAACATAATCACCGACAAGGGTAAAGGCTAAGGATGAATTACGTACGAAAATACACCTTCTAACATTCTGTATAAGCTTGGCAGGGTTACTGACGACACTATAAAAACTGCCATGGCTGGATGATGCGGTAGTACATCGTCTTAGCCGGTCTACCAAGCAGAGTCTGGATAGCTTGGACACATATCCAACTCGAGAAAGTAGATCGCTGGTTCAAATCCGGCAAAACACATCCACTTTTCTCGCGGCGCTGGTATGCTTGGATAACCAAAGGTTTTGAAATTCCATTTGGTGGGTACTTACGGAGGAGGGTCGACTGTTTGTGTAAGCGAACATACCTCATAGTGATATTTGCAAATGAAATCCAGAGTATGAGTGTCTCTAACGTCAAAAGAGTTATCAAACATGTATACTTAGTACCGGTCATTTGTCATAGCTAGACAGCTGAATACGCATTAAACGATTTAAAAAAACCCCACTTGGCAGGACCGAAAGAGGAATGAGAATTTCGTTGAGAGATCAGTAAATCGGCCTCAACTCTTGTCTATATCGGAAAAAGGTCTCCGACTTGACCAATCCCACAATACCATTGTTCAAATCCGTCACGAACAGTTAAACATATAGCTTTGGAGTGTCTTCCGTAGGCTAGGGGAAGAGGAGAGGTGCTGCGACTGGCAAAACCTAGGTCATTTGAAGCCATGATGAACAGCACTGATTTTTTAGCGAAATTTACAAAGCAGATTCGTTGCAAAGTGTATGTACTTGGTGTGCACTAGGTACATTGCACCTCTCCGTTGCTGAGTCATCAAGACGATGACTCAGCAAATTCAACAAACTCCACGCTTACAATATCTTTAGATAGAGAAGATAGATAGGAAGACATAATAAATACCTCATTTTTGTACCTTTCATTTTGTATGGAAGTAACCTTACGTATATGTACATTCAGGCTAACCGAAAAGATCCTAAATAAAGTCTGGTTCCAACGGCTCCAGATTGGAGAAGAAATTGAGACAGGGGTGAACGAAAAGATAAAGCGATCTGAAAAAGCTTAGGAATGAAGTTCTACTGGATAAATGGTGTACAAGTATTTCATAACAGAAAATTTGGAAAACAAGTAGAAATAAGATGGCTAGGATTAGGGGGTTTCACCGAATTGGTTCCTCCTGTGAGTGGATGCATATTTAGGTACAGTCAGCTCTTGTTATGCAAGCATCCAAGGTGAGCCGTGCGTACATACACATAAGCAGGACGGTTTTTCTAGCTGAACCTAGATAGAGAACCTTAATGATTCAGTTATGATACGAGATTGAGCCTTCGAAGCTCCCAAAGAAATTGCCTGAAAGTGGTAGCTGGGGCATACAAATCGAGTAGCACCAGGGTGCTGGAACTTGAAACTGCTACTCCTCCGATAGAAATCTACTTGAAGCAATAAAGGTCTCAGTGTCACGGATTGTGGTCGTGATCTAATCGGTCGAACGAAATATGTGGATCCTAAACGTAGCAGGCTACGTTATGTAATATAGAGTACTAAATGCGGTTAGCCTATAATTAGTAAGCTACGCACAAAGTGTAGATTTCGGAGTTGGGAGTTAGGAGATGATATAGACAAATTTATTAGAACTCAAGCTTAACTATTGCATTCTGCGGAACTAGCTGTAGTAGAGCCACGAGTTATTTTTTTCACCATCCTGTTTCAATTGTGATCGATCGAAACCCACAAATATACGAAGTTTATTCTGATTTCCTAAAGTAATGATAACGCATGAATAACTACAATGCGGAATAAGAGCACATGGAAAGGAAAGATATTTTTACAGGGGTATGACTAAGCGGTCCCTAAGGCCATCATTATACTTGGGCCGCACACAGCGAACGGCAGGAGTTGGTGCACTAGATTCTGTAACACTCAGTATGTAAGCCGCTCAAATTCTCAATCAGTCCCAAAGGCTATCCAATCAGAATATTGTAAAATAAAGCTTTCCAGATGAGGAAGAGAAGATATTAGAGCACATAATAGAAGAGTAGGCCTTGCCTACTGGAAAGAGATTTGCGGAGAGGAGAAATCCAAGGACTTACAAAAAGAAACGCTAAGGGTTGCAGCGTACCTTGCATGGCCGAAATCTTGGTCCGCCACAAAGCGAACACGACAGCCTAAAAGATTTGCTTCA